GGAAACTGATCTGTTCCGTGTGTTTCCATAGAAAACACAAACTCAGCTTAGGTTAAGTCTGAGGAAAAGCCATAGTGCTGAACTGTTGAGTAATGTTAAGGCCATCCTGTGTTTTATCGATTCATAGACCTACTTTCTTCTTAATTTGTTTTCTGCCCCTACGGTATTGATTATAAAAGCCCTTCGTATCCTCTTAAACCCCGTCAGCACCATTAGCTCTTTGCTTATAGGCTTATCATGTTTGAAGAGACGCAATAGTATTTCCATATTACATTATCCAGAATGTGGAACACTAATTCTATTTTTAATGATTTATTTTAGTTTAGATGGGTTTTTTTTAAACTACTTTAGAAACTTTAAACACTCTAGTACTCTGGATTTTCCTTACTGTAGAAGATATGACTATTGGCCATCCTCCAGTCCTCCCAATAAAGGAACTGGTTTTAATGACATTTTTTAAAAGCCCACATAATTCTACCTTTGCTACTGTGTTCTGCTCTAGTTTCCACAGCAGGCAGATTAATTTCCCCTCACCAAGTGAATGCAAGGCACTGATGCATCTACTCAGTACCTAAACCCAAGGATGGTGTGCAAAGATCACCCTCATGGCCAGTGAGTGACAGCAATAGAAATAAGTGTTTTCTTATGCTGCAGATTCAAGTTTTAAGATTCCAGAGAGCTGGTAAGAAGTGCATTGAATACAGATTTTGAGAAATTATATTAGAGCTCTTCATGACATCCTCTTACATTTTCTGAAACTCTTGATGCTCGAGATAAAGTGTCCCGAGGCACCTGGGCAAGACATTGCTGTTGAGCAATCATCCATTTCCCAAATCACATCTTGGCGATTCTGTGCAAACGTATGAACAGTGACATGTGTTAGCAAAAGATCTGTGTGCTGTTTTCACCAAAGGCTCTGACTACCATTGTGGTACCAAGAGCAAAGAGTCAGAACACAGCCAAGCTGTGTCTGGAGTTCCCATAGACAGAGGGACAAAAGAAAACCTTTTCTGATACACTTACCGTAAATGCTCAGTCCCAACAGTGCATTTCAATGCCTTCAGACACCAGTAACCCAGGAGCACACAATGGAGAGCCTGCCGGCAAGAGCACTTTATCCAGGAGCCCAGCCTGCACCCTCGCCACACACACCGCACCCCGATGCCATAGCACGCGCGCACACACACACACCCCGAATGTTAGGGGTGTCCCGTGCCCACAGAACCCTACAGGAGCTGTCCCTGCAGACCAGGAGGGTCTGGGTTACACTCACTTTCCACTCCCTGAGCTTGGAAATTAGTTTGGAGAGAGGCAGCTGATAATCTGATATACAAGAGACACTCCATAGGCGTGGACACTGTTACTGATTAGGTACCATTTAGAGGGAAAACGAGGGAAGATGGAGAATGAGATCCCTCTGGTATCCTCTGCACCTAGAAATTATCAGAAAACCCAGACTGACCCAGATCCCTTTCCCAGCAGAATTCCATGTGAAAAAGAGTAACAATACTCCCCAAAGGAAATTTAGTTCTGAATAACAGCATGCCATTTCCTACGGATTTACGGCAGGTGTGTGTGCTGCAAAGGAGCAGAAGGCAGCACCATGAAACCCCCAGGCACTGGGGCAGTTCAGCCGCCCAGAATGAGACTTACTTCAGTTTACTTTGCTGTTGTAGCTGTTTTTACAACAGCAATTGCCTCTGCCCAGTAGAATATCTGCACCCTTTTATGCTGTTCCCAAACGGAACATCATGCTGAGACAGCCAGAATAGGAACCACAGAATAAATAATTATTGTAACTTCTGCCCAGCTTAGCCCCCGTTTCCTGAAAGGCCGAGTTTGTTTTAGAGCATCTCCTTCCATCAGCCCTTTTTTCTAAACATAAAAATCCCCAAGGAGCCTTGACTAAATACAGAGACAGATGGTGACACCAAAAAGACTGCCCTCACATCACTCCCCTCTCCCCCAATACCACGCATTTCATTGATCAGCTGCAAAGATTAAATTGAGCAGAAAACGTCCACAAACAGCCAGGCAGCAAAGCTGAACTTCCAAGGGAGGGGCGAGGGCAGCAAAACAGAGCCCAGCACAGCACTGCCAGCTCTAGGGGGTCCCAGCTCCCGCAGGCACTGCAGGTGATGGGAAAACCCCTACCCTCCAAGCACAAGAGTAAAAAAACCTTCAGTAGAGTGGTTGATTTGGTTTTAAGTGGAGCAATGAGCAGGTACTGAAAGAAAGAATAAAGTAGTAATGTACCAGAGTTCCCGTACCAAGGGTAGGTCACTCAGATGTTAAACGAACTGTCAGCGACCAGCATCCTCATTCCTACGCCCACAGTGACAGTCTGTCCATGAACCGGCCTTGCCACAAAGCGCATAGCAAAGCACAATCCTGAAAACTGATCCCATAACACGGGGTTATAACTTATAAAATGAAGTTGCTTGCATACCGAGAGCACTGTCTCATCAGTACCGCCTTGCTCTCACACCACGCTGACTTCCACTGCCGACAGCAAACTTCAGGATGCCATTTTTCTCCATTCACGTAACACCCGGCACTTTGGGGTCCTAGACTTGCAAATAAATAACATTTCCAAGTATCCACAACAGTGAGAAATCAAGCGAAGGAACAGATTTCTTTTGCCTTCTGTGCCTTTTTTGGCGTGAGCGACAGCAGGAGCTCTCTCTTGCCCTCGCACGCCCGTACCTGCATCTCCGCAGCTGTAGTACGCTGTGTCGGTGGGGAAGGGTAAGGGAATCGTGTACACTGTACCCCAGGGAAAGGGGTAGAGGTAGACAAGCAGCGCCCAACCCGAAGGCGAAGAGAACACCAGAGGACAAGGCGCAGAACCCTGCTCCTGCAAATGCCTTTGCCTCTCCAGAGCCTCCCAACCCAGCGGGAGACACGTTCAGGGATTGAGATGAGCAAGCCACTGCTCTGCATCTGTACCACACTTCAGCAACAAGTCATCGTGTCCTGCTCTTCTCTTTAATGCGTAGACTGGACTACCCTTCAATCTTCATGTTCCCCAGGACCTCCCCTCTCTTATGGGAACTGCTTCTTCCCGTAGGCAAGAGAGAATGAGCTGCCCCATCTGTACAGGTTTTCAGGAGACAGATGGTAGTGCTGTCTCTCTGACAGCTCTGCACAAACCTGCACAACTTCCAGGAGCAGCACGCTCCACAGGGGTTACAAGCATAATGGGTGCGTCAATTTTCCAGGAATTATTCAGAGAGGTAAAGTGCTTTTGGCAGAAAGACACCTTAAAGATGCACACAACTGCCCACTCTGTTCCTACTACAGGAGAGTTTTGGTGGCTTTCTTTGTGAACAAACACAGCACTTTCAGTCTCCAGACCTACCAGCAAACACCTATGAGAAGCTCTTGCAGTGCCTTGGTTTGGGTAACTAACACAAACCACTGCTGCAGCCTTTCTGCAAGGACAGGGATGTCTCAAAAAAGGACTTCTCTGCACTGCGAGTCCAAGGCCAAAATTGCTGTTGGTGCAATAAGTTTTTCAGCTGCAAGTATTGTGCACATGCATACCTTTGTCCTCCTGGCACACTGAGGCTGTTCAATGGGTAGTAGGCATCCAAGCCTTATGTTTTTCCTGGCGATGGCTCCATATGCTCCTAGGCTTAGAAGCAGAATTGCGCTAAGCCAGCTCTCTTGCCTGCCTCAATGGGCTTTGAGGTAAAAGCACGTGGCAGAGATTGGGCTAGAAAGGCCCTTGCAACCCAGACAAAGCCAGGATCGGGTTTCAATAAATGCACTTTTCAACAGATTGATCTAGATGATCATGAATAAGTGATAGGGCAGATATAAAGAGCTAATGGATACAAGACTGCTGGGGAGGGGGAGTCCCTGACACCCTAGACCCCGATGGGAAGGAATGCAACCTTGCTGTTTTTCTGATGTCAGTCTGAAATGAAGTCATACAGCCATTCCCTGGGTTATAT